GTTAGTACGCTCATTGAATGGCTAAACGTGGGTTTGTTTTGAAGAGTTTTGTAAAGTATAGCTACAGATTTGACTCGTTGATCTTGTTGGGCAGGTTGATCCAGAGCCTACGGGTATTAAAGAAGAGAGTTAAGTCCTCGTCTTTCTTCCTCGTCAGGACTGAAACCTGGCTGCTCATAGTAGATCATCAAAGAACTGATGTAAATGCTAGCTATTCAAGCTCTGCTGGGGAAAAACATTGAATCCTGAGCCATGTTGTTATGAAAGATTTCTGTACCAACATTAATAAACATAGTAATGATGGTTTTACTTTTGTCAGTCTTGAACATTAAGCAGTATTGTGCCTGTGTTGGGTTATGCAATCCAGAGCAGATCACAGAGGAGACTCCATGGTGCTTTTACAAGTGGAGATATTATTATATATTATATTTCTCATTAGAAATGTTTAAGCTCTGCACACAAAAGCAAAAGCAGTCTGAGCAGTAATCGAGTAGCAAATATAACAGTAATATAGTTATCCAGACTGCAGAGGATTGCTGGAAGTAAACTACACTTTGGGGCAACCTGTAGCCAACGCCCAGTGCTCCACCTACAGCAGGGAGCGGTGCTGCTCAGGTGAAACTCTAAGCTAAACGTCTCTATCGAAAAGTAATCACTTTGACTGAATATTTAAGTGTACGTACAGCTTCAGGGTATAATGTTCATTAGTTTAGAGAATACCTTTAAAACATTCACACTAGGTTACTGTATGTGCAGCTGTCTTTGTCAGCACTATTCTTTGTTCTTCTCCAATTAACTATGACCTCCTCCTCCTCTCTGTATTTACCACAGATACGTATCAGCCCTGACAACACCAGCCCGCCTATCCCCAGTGGATTTCCATTACTCATTGCCCCCGCAGGTGCCTACCTTCCAGATCACATCCCCCAATGCCAGCCACGCCATGTCGCTCCCTCCTGCTGTTCACAATCCGTACCCCCTGGAGGATGACCAGCCTCTGCTGCGCCGCTACCAGGTGCCCCTACACGATGCTCATTGCCAGGAGCCTTACCGGCAGCAGCGTCGAACCTATCTAAATGACAGCAGGGGAAGCCTTCCCTCCAGCCCCTACCGGCTGGCTGAGGATGAAGACTATGAGACCACCCAGGAGTATCTGTCCTCTCGGGAGCAACCAAAGAGAAGTGGGTCCAGTGGAACTGGAAGCCGGCGCTGGCGGAGATCCAGACTGAATGGCCACGTGGCCCCACGAGGATACGAGGCATCTCGGGACTATGGGTCTCGAAGCTGTCTAACAGATAGTGAGTCAGAGGAGGACGGCGAGAGCACGCCCTTCCTCAGTATGCAGAACATGAACGCCGAGCCTTCCACCATCTACAGGCCGGCGGACAGTCGGACTTCTAACTCGTCAGGGCGACACAGTGGGCATGGGAACACGCATACAAGACTCACACAGTCACGCTCCAAACCGGACAATACACCGCATTAAAGAGTGATAATGAACCGACAAAAATCAATATAGTATAGACCTGCATCTATAAGAAATATTTTTATTTTATATAACTGACAGATATTCTAAACAAATGAAATATTTATTTTCATTTTAGCAAAAGTTGTCTACTAGTTAACAGCAAAGACTTTTTTATAGGGAAAACTCTATTTATATGTACATTTTGATTTACAGCATAAAAAGATGTGCCAGTTTTTTCACAATGTTAAAAAATAGAGTAATATTGTGGTGCCTTTTGCTGTATGCCGATGCCAGAGGGCCAGTGGAGGTTTTTGTAGCCTTTCTTATATGGACGCCTCATTTTTTTATACACATTTATGTTTTTGTTTTTCCTCTCTGGTTTCCTATTTACTTTCTTTCCAAATTGCATCCTTCGAGAAGTCTAACCCCTTCCATATCACACGATATAAACCACTTCAACATAAAGTGTATGTTTACATATGATAATATGATTCGCCTGTAGGGTTTTATTTTATGATTTGGGATTTATTAGAACGCCTCATAAATGCGATGTAGATTCTTTTCTTTTTTCTTTTTTGCCCGCTAACTAATGTCTACCAAGAGAAAAAGAGTCACAGAGAGTGAGAAATTGTGTTGCCTGTGCATAAATGTCTGCGAGTGTGTGCGTGTGTGTGCACGCTCGTGCGCACCTGTGTGTGTTGCTTGCATGCGTTTGTGACTGTTAGATGAACTTCACTGTTTGTTGTGGTAACATCAAATGTGTGGGTCTACTGGTGTCAGGAGAGTGAGAGTAAAGAGTCTCGGAGGTTCACAGAAAAGTGAAGAACAGTGACCCCAGTGTAGGTGAGCAGGCAAGGCTGCTGTAGGGTTGTATGTTATGCAGGTCATTGCTTGATGCGTTTACAGCTATTCTGCCCCTCCCCAGCCCGCCCCATTTACATCCTTTTTTTTTTTTTAATTTTGAAAATGATTATTTCCCAGCAGGTTTTCCTTGCTTTAGCCTGGTATGTGGCCAACAAACACTGAGCCGCTTGGCACCGGGTGACCCCTGCTGTCAGAGGCAGTGGCAAAACAAAAAGATTGCGTCTGTTTTCACTCGAATCCCACGCCTAATCATCCTTCTGTGTCCATTCTGTTTTTGTGGCTTACGTTTAAGGCCACCAGCGTCTCAGGATTTCCACATGCATCCCCCTGCCTCCACCTCAAGCCCTGCTCAACCTCTTCCTTAAGTTTAGGTCTACCTAAGATTCAAGTTCTCAGATGCTGAGGACCTATGTGTTAACACGCAGTTACTAGTACCCCGATCATTCCCATGCAGAGAAAAGTAAAGTCAGGTGGAAGCAGCTCAGTGGATCACAGTACAGAGCATACTAGACAATATTAACGAAATAGCTGTGAAACTTTGGAGGATCATATGATGCAAAAATATGCAAACTTTCTATTTTGCTGTTTGATTACATCATTTTCTAAGAGGTGACTGTAGTGTGTTGTGTGGAAAAAAAAATGTGATGCCTATAGTGTAGAATGAAATAACATGATACAAATGCATATTTACCCGAGTTATTTTTTGAAAGCCATTATGCAGCCGTCTATCATGTTCTCAGCCTTTCTTGTTCACTTAACGTCACGTCCATTGAATGACTGTGTCTGTGAATTATTTTATCACTCGGCTTAGATCCCTCCATCTTACGTGCATACTTCCCAGTAATAGCCGATAGAATCCAAATAGTATCTCCTCTGATGGTAATGTGTACTGCTTTGTCTTGTTGACTGATGGAGTCATTTAAAATTTAGCCTGTAAATGATGATTTTGAAAGTGAATAAATTCATTTTAAGCCCTTTGTCCTCCACTGAGGGAGAGGTAAATATTTGAAAGATATCTCAAAGTCACAGCCGTCAGTGTGGCTCGCACAGAAAGGACAGCTGATGTTTCGTCTCTGTCGGTACATTTCTGCTCCTCCTTATTAAAAATAATGGAATGCTGCAATTAGGGGGGGGGGGAAATGCCTTTTAAACACTGATCTGCAATTCTGACTGGTATATGGTAAATGCACAGTGGCACTGCAATAGAGGATGGTCACACATCGGTCACAACATGCTGATGTTTTCATTGAGTTTCTCACCTCTGGGTCTAATTTTGTATGTCAGAAAAGTGCAAAAGAAGACTTCACCTCCAGTTTAAATGTGACAGCCCCTTCACCCTGCCAGTCCTCTCACCCATTTGAGATGCTACCGGGCACGTCCAATCAGCCTCTTCTGTTGAAATTTATGACCCCCCCGCCCGACCCCACCCTCGCTTGAAATGTTTGAACACCTCTCCTCTGCATGTCCTTGTGGTCAAGGTTAGATGGGTGCATGGTTTAAAAAAAAGAGATTTAAAAAAAAAAATCACACAAAAAAAGCAGCAGACAATTCTTTTCCAGTCAGTGAAAGTGTATTTCATTTAACATTCAGCAATAAAAAAGAACCTTTCCCCATGTCATTCCTGAAATATGCTAGAAAAAAGAAAAAACTTGCGAGATTGTCATAGATTGTAAAATACAATGAAAAATGAATCCACCTGTTCATATGAGAAAATAAATCTTTATTCATATCATTTTACGTTGTAGTCATTTCTATAGACCGCCTTGCTCTGTATTTTGATTCATCTCTCTCTCTCTCTCTTTTTTTTCTTGGCTTGGGGTTGGACTCGTCTGGCGTGCGCAAGGTGTCTCAGGAGAACACGCATAAAACCTGACAGTGAAATAAAATCTATTTAATATAGCGATCGAGGGTTTATATGTTGTAACCAAAAGGTTTTAGATAGCAGTTTCATACAGTTAGTGCCAGACACACACAACAATGCATTTGTTGCCTGAGAGCGAGCATTGGCAAACTTTAACTATTTCAAAGAGGAAAGTACGAGCTGATCCTTAAATTGAAAACATACATGTTGATATGAGGATATAAGTATGAATCTATTTATTGTAAATCC